GCCCAATGCTCCACTACGTCCTATAGTGAGCCAAATCGATTCACCAACTTACAGATTGGCTCAACACTTAGCGAATATACTCTCACCGCTCAAGGGACATACAAGAGCACACACAAAGGATTCCTACCATTTTGTCAGCGAGATTAAAGACCTACATCTGGCAGACAATGAAACTATGGTGAGTTTTGATGTGCAGTCTCTGTTCACATGCCTACCTGTTGAAGACTGCATCTCGATTGTTACTAGAAGGGAGGAAAACAACATGCCCGTAGAATATGCAGTATTACTCAGACACTGCCTTACATCTGGCTACCTATTGTGGAAGGAGGAGTTCTACAAGCAAGTAGATGGTGTGGCGATGGGCTCACCTGTATCTCCCATTGTTGCCGATATATTCATGGAGGACTTTGAGGAGAAAGCCCTGCTTACTTCTCCCATAAAGCCAAGATTCTACAAGCGGTACGTAGACGACACTTTCACAATTCTACCTTTAGATAAAGTAACTGCATTTTTAGACCATCTTAACTCCTTAAATTCTAAAATTCAGTTCACAATGGAGTTAGAGGCAAACAATTCTTTAGCTTTTCTAGATGTGTTAGTAATTCGGAATCCTGATAACACCTTGAGCCACACTGTGTATAGAAAAAAGACCCATACAGATAGATATTTAAACGGTGATTCTCACCACCATCCTTCACAGTTAGCTACCGTGGGTAAATCTTTGTTTCAGAGAGCACGAGGGATCTGTGACAGTAAACACCTGGCCGCCGAGCTCCAACACGTCAAGCAAGTTTTGCACGACAATAAGCTTCGGGTCCCGCGCCTACGTCACAGTGAACGAGTGAAGCCGGCCACAGTCGAGCGAGTGCCTGCTGTACTGCCATATGTCAGAGGTGTCACTGACAAGATTGGCTACATCTTGAAGCGTGCTTCCATTAAAACATATTTCAAGCCGCCGAAGAAGATTAGTCAGTTTTTACCATCAGTCAAGTGTAATATTCCTCTGCAAGATGCAGGAGTGTACAAGCTGGATTGTGAATGTGGTCTCTCTTATATAGGACAAACTAAAAGATCCATAAAAACCCGCGTTAAAGAACACATAGCTGATGTGAAGAATAGACGCTCCGGGAAGTCTGCAGTCTGTGAACACGTACAGGATCGCCCCCGTCACTACATTAGATTTGATAGACCACAAATCCTCGCTAAAGAACACCGATTCCTTCCAAGGATGATTCGCGAGGCTATTGAAATCAAAAAACATCCTAATTTCAATAGAGAAGATGGCTGGGTGCTACCATCTGCTTGGGATCCCATAATTAATAAAATTAAATCCCAACCCAAGCATACAACTGCAAGACTTCATGATACTGTAAGTTCATACTGCGTAGATCGGAACAAAAATTAATAATTTTTTAATCTGGAGGTAGCCGTGGTTAACTATGACATTGGGACGTCATACACCTCAGTCCCCCCCGTGACCATGGGTGCTGTAAAGTGCTTGAAACGTCGGGAAAGTAAAATAAGTTAATATACGCGATGAAATCCGTAAAATTAGTTTTATTTAAAGGTGTTCTATACTTATAATTCGGTAAAAAGTATCTAAGTAGGTACTAATATAACTACTTTTTACTATCTAAAAATTTTTAAAACTAAATTTAACTAAAAAGACTAAACTGACCATTTATTTTTTAACTCAAAACAGGACATGGGTTTATTTATACTCTAAAAACTATAACTTTATACAATTAGTGTTCACTATAAAATTATATTCGGTATAGACGGTAATTATTAAATGCAACATATTTTTTTTAATTATTAATTACATTTGTCAGTGGATTAAATTTGCTAAGTTGGTGATGATTTTAAATAAGAAATTCTGCTCAAGTTTTTTTATTGTTATCTTTGTCAACAACATCGCCTTTAGAACTCTGGAACCGTAAGTGTTTCTTTCAGACGTCCACAATTTATTCAAAATAAAAAAATACTCTTTCTACCGGAGCATTCGTACCAGGTAGACATAAAATATATTCGATTAAAAAAATTATGTTGAAGATTGTTGACTTTGAATACTTCCATCCAACGAGTTACGGGACAATTTTGTGTCCCGGAGCTTTGTTTGGGGACAATGGGACAGGTGACCGAGAAAAGGGACAGTCCCGTCCAAAACGGGACGTATGGTCACTTTAGCTATAACCCGGCGACTGCTTCGTGGCGAAGTGGCTTAGCAATCAGTTGTTGCGCTGGGGGCCGCGGGTTCGAATCTCGTACGGAACAAGTATTTGTATGGCCTACAAATAATTGTTCCGGGTCTGGATGTTTGTCCTTGTGCAATTTATGTTTGTAAACTGCCTCCACTACACAGGAGAAAATCCTAGTGTGGGGTAACGTTTTTTTACAATTGAAATTGAAAGATTGAACCCTTCTACTTCTTGTTGATTTTTGTATTACCTTTATTAAAGTTACCCTTATATATGAATAAATATAATTACGTATGTAGAAATAAAATTGATTTTCATCCTCATCAATCATTGGGGCGAGGATAATGTCTGCCAGCATAAGTAAGCAGGCTAAGTTACAAGGTCCTCAGTTCAAAAATTTGTAGGTAGGTATATTACTTTTCAATACGTGACACGTAAAAATTAACAATAATCAAAAACACATCCACGAAACATCCTATTTATTTATTTATTCTTTATTGCACCAAATATTTGTACAAAAGGCGAGCTATCTATTTATTTACCTATAGTGAATAGGTATCTTTTAAACTCACAATTTTCAATGCTTCATTTTTAATATATAATTAATTATAAAATTTCATAATTAGATAATATATGAAAATACACAATTCTAATGTAATGCAACTAATATACCGAATAAAAAAATTAAAATACATTTATCGTTGTACGCTGTGTGTATTTCCATAAATTAGTTCATTGATGTTGAAAAAATAATACTGCGTTCTTACCTACAATAGGTGGCGTCTTATATATTTCATATTAAGCAATATATTGAAGCGAGCGGCGCGGCCGGCAAAATGCTCAAGGTCGTTCGCATGGAGTAGCCCCTTAAGTGTTTGAATTTATCCTCAGGGTTCGATGTGTAATGTTTTTCAGTTTAATGTCGGGTATAGACAAGGACATAGACAAGCAAGGTAGAGTAGTAGTTATTTTTGCTATTTTCCCTTAACAAAGTATACTAGTGGCGCTTTTAACATTACCAGTACTGTATATTATAGCGTACGTCAATGGCCTGAGCTAAAATAAATAAATGTTTCTTTCGTCTTTCTTGCAACAAATTGTTTCAAGAAAAAATGGTTTCAGTTAAATTATTAGTGCAGTTAATTATACTATATTGTGGTTGTAGCAGTAATGGGTTCACTCGACCGGGGAATGACCACGCTCTCACAGAATATCAGCTTAATAAAATAGCAGCTGCTGCTTCGTATGGAGATCGGGGATTTTTTCAAGGAAACGAGGCGTTCTATCTTAGATCTCAGGTCTGACAATGCATCTACATTTTCACACCAAATCGAAGATAAATGCAGGTGTCTATGAACGACAGCATCCACTTATCATTAGGTGGACCGTGTGCTCTTTTGTCACCCTTCACCCATTATAATTTAGGATTCATATCATAAAATGGCAGTTTAATAGAATCTTTACTAACATATTAATTATTATTATTTCGTTCCGTGATTGTTAAAGATAATTAACAACATTTTCGATTAAGGCATTCGACTAATGGTGGAACCGCCTGGCAATCTAGCCTCAGTCATAAGTATGGAGAGATTCTTGCTCAGCTTTGGAAACTTACAGTTTGATGATTGATTGATGTTTGCTTTTAAGTTTCCTTATATCAGGTATACAATATAAGTGTTATCTTTTTACTACGGTTTGCAAGTTTGTGTTTAATCTCAAAAATAAAACATACAATTTTAAATGTGATTTATCTAAACAAACTTATTAAACTAAACTTTTGAAATATGTGACCTTATATATAACTAAAATGTATATAATGTCGTACCAAGTGCGACCCTGTTATCTCCCTCACCGACAACCTCCTACCCGAGCAACACCCGGCCGCACTCGTGAACAGATTTATGTCTGAATTATTTATTTACTTAATTTTCTAAGTACTCTATTAAATTATTTGTTTTTTTATTATACCTAGCCTAGATTCCGCTTAACTAAATCTTGTTGTTGCGGCTTGATAACATTTCTTTTTTATATAATGGGATTGACAAACGAGCTCACAGTCCACCTGATGATAAGTGGATGCTGTGGCCTATAGACATCTACATTTATCCTCGATTAAGAATCAAAATAAAGATGCGTTGTCACTCGTGGGGACTATGACGGAATACTTCGTTTCCAGTAAAAGGGTTATCCGCTGCTCTACACTCTAATATATGGACTGAATAATATGTTTCTTTTACACGTAACACGTCTAAATAATATAGACTGAAACGATGACAACAAATTAATAAATTTAGTCAATGAATTTCGTAACTTAAGGAAAAGAAAATAGTCTACTCCTTTTTAAAATGCCGGCTACGCATTTGCAATTCTTCTAGTGTTGCATATGTTCATGGGCGACGGTGATCACACACCATCAGCTGAGCTCGTTTGTCTCCTTTTCCATAAAAAATGCGTGTTCTTTTATGTAGTATAGAGAATCGGAGGTCTTTTGTAACGAGGCATGCCATCTTATGCCGGGTTTCTATATTTAAAAACTCTTCGTTTTAATTTACGAGCCGTTTTTAATAAATGAAGTGCATGAAAACCCCTTTTTTATAACAAAATACCAGTTAATATTTTTAAGAACCGCTTAAATGGTTCTTGACTTTAAGTACGTTTCTTGAATATAGGAATCGGGGGTTAGTCCACAGGGGTGACAACTGACAACGTATCTGCATTTTTTGTTTGGCACCCTAAAACTATAAAAAAATTCTTGCACCCTACTATCATTTGCTCCCACTACTACAGCCCTTTATTTTCCAGGATGAGGTGCTCGCAATCAACGATAAGGTAGTGGTCCGTGCGGAGGACCTGCTGAGCTGGGTGTGCGAAGGCACTGGTTGGCGGTGGGGACTCCGAGCGGTTTGGAGGGGAGCCTGCGCCCCGCCTGCGGACCCTCGGCTCACCGCGCCGCTCCATCATACGAAGCTGGACTTCAGCGATATAGAACGGGAGAAAAATGCAATTAGTAAGTTCTGTGTATAAACCATTTTGCTATGCAATAAATAATAAATATTAAATAAATAATAATGAAATTATTATTTATTAATTCGACAAAAAATGAGATTGACTTCATTATGACGACCAGACGACAACTGTTCAGTGATGTCTCCGTGATCGCGAGGGTGAAAACTGGTAGCGATCACCGAATGGTTAGAGGCACACTGAACCTAAACGTTAAGGTGGAGAGGTCTCGTCTAATGAAGTCAACGCTCCGTCCCCCTCGTGCTCTGTTCCAAAGTCCTGAAACCTTTCAGCTCGAGTTACAAAACCGTTTTCAGTGCCTAGAAGACTGCAATGAAGTGGACGATATGAATGACAAGCTCGTGGAAACTGTCCATGCGGTCGGAGCTAAGTTCTGCAAGACCCGCCGCAGAAGAACACAAAAACTCTCCGATCACACTCTTAATCTCATGGCTGTTAGGCGGGAGATGAAGCTACATTCTTCAACAGACTTGACAGCATACAGGCATCTGAACAGACAGATCTCCAAATGCATGCGGCGGGACTTACGCAACTTCAATACAGCTCGTATTGAAGAAGCGATCGAGCGGAACCAAGGCTCCAAAGTCTTTGCCAGAGATCTGTCTGCCAGAAAGAGCCACCTGTCAAAGCTGAAGACAGAATGTGGCAGCATCGTTTCCGGGACACCTGAGATTTTGAGTGAGATTGAGAGGTTCTATGGGCAGCTGTACACGTCATCGTTGGAGCCACACGCAAGTGTGAATAACGATCCAAGAGCGAGTCTCATCCGAGACTATTCCGAAGATATCCCGGACGTCAGTCTGAGCGAGATTAGAATGGCTCTCCAGCACCTTAAAAACGGTAAGGCCCCAGGCGAGGATGGAATTACAGCGGAGCTTCTGAAAGCGGGTGGAAGACCGGTACTTGAAGTCCTTCAGAAGCTCTTTAATTCCGTCCTCCATGGTGGCATTACACCGGAGGCGTGGAGCAGAAGTGCGGTGGTCTTGTTCTTCAAGAAAGGTGACAACGCTCTCTTGAAGAACTACAGACCGATTTCCCTTCTGAGCCGCGTCTACGTGCTGTTTTCGAGAGTCATTACGAATCGTCTCGCGCGCAGACTTGACGACTTCCAGCCTCCCGAACAAGCCGGTTTCCGAAAGGGCTTTAGCACCATAGACCACATACATACCCTTCGGCAAATTGTACAGAAGTCCGAAGAGTACAATTTGCCACTATGTCTGGCGTATGTGGACTATGAGAAAGCCTTTGATTCCGTCGAAATTTGGGTCCCTTCAGCGGTGCCAAGTTGACTGTCGGTATATCGAAGTGTTGAAGTGCTTGTACAGTAGGGCTACGATGGCTATCCGAGTACAGAACCAGAGTACGAAACCTATCCAATTGCAGAGAGGTGTAAGACAGGGTGACGTCATATCCCCGAAACTCTTCACCGCTGCATTGGAAGACGTTTTCAAGCTTCTGGTCTGGAAAGGATACGGTATCAACATCAATGGCGAGTACATCACTCACCTTCGATTTGCCGACGATATAGTCCTTATGGCAGAATCGCTGGAGGACCTAAGCACTATGCTCAATGACCTCGATAGTGTTTCCCAACGGATAGGTCTTAAGATGAACATGGACAAAACAAAGATCATGTTCAATGTCCATGTCACACCTATGCCGGTAGTTGTTGGGAGCACTAAGCTCGAAGTTGTTGACGAGTATGTTTACCTGGGACAAATAGTCCGACTAGGTAAGTCCAACTTCGATCGAGAGGTCAATCGACGGATTCAACTCGGCTGGGCAGCGTTCGGGAAGCTACGACACATCTTCTCGTCAGACATACCTCAAAACCTGAAAACGAAATTGTACAACCAGTGCGTGTTGCCAGTGATGACTTATGGAACTGAGACGTGGTCCTTCACTGCTGGCCGAATGAGGAAGCTCAAGGTCGCTCAGCGAGCTATGGAGAGGGCTATGCTCGGAGTTTCTCTGCGTGATAAACTTAGGAATGAGGATATCCGCAGTAGAACCAGAGTAACCGATATAGCCCAACGGATTAGTAAGCTGAAGTGGCAGTGGGCCGGCCATATAGCTCGAAGAACCGACAACCGATGGGGAAGAAAGGTTCTCGAGTGGCAGCCTCGTACCGGTAGGCGAAGTGTAGGGCGTCCCCCCACGAAATGGAGTGACGACCTGGTAAGACATGCAGGAAGTCGATGGATGCAGGTGGCTCAGGACCGTGCTTTGTGGCATTCTTTGGGGGAGGCCTATGTTCAGCGGTGGACTTGTGAAGGGCTGTAATGATGATGAAATAATAATGAAAACTTAACTTAACTTATCTTCACGCACAATCCCTGACGGGGTAGCCAGAGAGAACAGATCGCCAAGTGTCACGATCCTTACATACCTCTTTCGCTTCGTTCAATAATAATGAAAATAAACAATAACGAAAAACTAAAATTAAAGTTATTGTATAGTCTTACTCCCTGTGGTATAGTAGAAATAGTGGTCGAATTTCGACGGTATGGCGACTGTGGCGGGTGGAAGGAAAAGGGGAGATCTCCCGCCGGGCAAGGTGTTCTGCCCGGGGAGCGGCCAACGCTCCGAATGGTAGTTCGGAGCTATTCTATATATACTGTTTTAACTTCGGAACTTTGTTAGCGCGATTTAGGCTTCGATGTGTTTCGCTTGTGGCGCGACGACAGCGCCGCCACACGACGATCTCTACTCTGTGCGACTTCTTGACCACAGACTATTAAATGTTTAAGATTGGCTATAGAGTACTAACATACATTGTTATGGATCGCAGTGGACTGTATTATTGAGGGTACGCTAGGGGCAACTGCTTAAAGAAAAGATGGTACTGTCGAACTATACTGTATTCTAACTATTTACAAATGTGGCACTATTAATTAAACTATTATACAGAGGGGAGTCTTCTTAATGGAGTCTTCTTGAGTCTTGATTTTCTTGATTTCTCTTGCTGATTTCTTCTCTCCGAGTGCCGCTTCCGAAATGAACAGCTCACCGTCCGAGACGCCCTTCTTATATCTCGCCGGAGAGCGTCTCGGGTCGTGCGTAGCGTCGTCCGCGATGCCGCGCGCTCATTGGTCGGCGACATCGCGTGATCTGCTGCCGGTGTGCGGGGTGCGCGGGGCGCACCGGGGTGTGAAGGGGCGACGGGGCGGCGGCCTCCTCGCTGTCCGCTACATCCTCCCCCCGGCGTAGCCTGCGAGCCTAAGCTTCTCTCGGGAGGACGGCGATCTTCCTGACGGGCCGCCGCAGCACTCCTCCCTTGGTCCGGACCTCGACGTTCCGTACCACGCCGTCTGGTCCAGGAAACGTCTTCGTTACGATGCCCCGCGGCCACACATTCCTGGGTAGGTTGCCGTCCGCAACCACGACGAGGTCCTCTTCCTGTATTTGGCGCTGCTGAGCATCTCTGGAGTCCCCGCGCGCGACCAGCGTCGGCAGGTACTCCTTCACCCAGCGCCTCCAGTACTCGTCGGCGAGCCCCTGCGCCGCTCTTCACGCCCGACGATCCATAGGTGTGCACGGCGCGGTGACTGGCAGGCCCGATGGTCCCAACAGTAGGAAGTGGTTGGGTGTCAGCGCCTCTTCATCGTCGATGTCGACCGGTACGTGCGTCAACGGTCGAGAATTTATAGTATTTTCGGCTTCAGTCAGAAGCGTTGCCAACGTTTCTTCTCGTGGGCTCTTCTGATGGAGAGTGGCTTCGAGCGCGGTTTTCACTGAGCGCACGAGACGCTCCCATGCGCCTCCCTGGTTAGGCGCGCCCGGTGCGATGAACTTCCAATCGACGCGCCGAGTCAGCGCGTAATCCTTCAACTGTAGCGCCCACTCTTCCATTGCCCGTCGTAATTCTGTGTTTGCCCCATGAAAATTAGTCCCATTATCCGAATAAATAACCCGTGGCCACCCACGCCTAGCCGCCATGCGCCGCAATGCCGATGTCGCCGAGTCCGCGGTCAGAGAATAGACTATCTCTAGATGTACTGCGCGCGTCGTTAGGCACGTGAACAGTGCCACCCACCGTTTTTCGTGCCGTCGTCCTATCGTAACCGTCAGAGGCCCGAAATAATCAATCCCGGTGTTCGTAAATGGTCGCGCAAACGCCCCTAACCGTTCAGGTGGTAGGTCTCCTGTAACCGCAGGTCGTGGTGACGCCTTCCGTACTCTGCATCGTAGGCATCTCCGCTCCGCTTCCCGTACTGTAGGTCGTAATCGGAGGATATGATACCTAGTGCGCAGGTCGTTCACCACCCTCTCCCTATTGGCGTGGCTTGCTTCCTGATGCGCCTTCTCCACAAGCAGCTTCACAAATAGGTGACGTCCATTCAGGATAATGGGTCTCTTCATTTGACCGTCCACGTCGGCTGCGTCGATCCTTCCCCTGGCTCGTAGCACTCCATCCTCCAATATGGGGTCGAGCTTCCTTAGTGCGCTGCCGGTGGTCAAATTCTTTCCCCGCTGAAGGCGGCTGATGTCTTCAGCGAAGCTTTCCTGCTGGCTGTGTTGTATCCACATCCGTTCTGCTCTCTGGATGTGCTGTAAGGTCAGTCCTCTTGCTCTTCCTCGTGCCGCATCGAGGAATTGTAGTACTCTTGCTGTGGCCCTGATTAACTTCTCGTAGGCAGAGAATCTCTCTATGTCTGGCAGGTGTGGAGCTTCCTGGGTGTCGCTCTGGTGCGCCACGATTTCCTCCAACTCTTCATCATCCCCCGCCTTCTCTTCCTGTCGGTGAGGCCATCTGTCTTCATGCTCGTAGAGGAAGGGTGGTCCTGTAAACCACTTGTCGCTCTCTTCCTTGGTTGTGAAATTCATACGCGTTGCCTGATCCGCTACGTTTTCCGCGGTCGGTATCCACCTCCATTGCTCGGGTGATGTCTTCTCAGCTATCTCCCCTAACCGGTGAGCAACGTATGGAGTGTAACGCGCCGTATCGTTTTGTATCCAGTGGAGCGCCGTAGTAGAGTCCGTCCAATATACGACCCTATCTGCTACCACTCTGTGTTCGTCCTGCACGAATTCCGCGAGTCGCGCGACTATTAAGTTCGCCTGCAACTCTAATCGCGGTATACTTTGCGCTTTAATTGGAGCGACTTTCGCCTTAGCCGCCACTAATCGCACCCTAATCGTTCCGTCGCGATATCGTATACGCCAATACGCCGCGGATGCGTACGCACGTTCGCTCGCATCATTGAACACGTGAAGTTGACGCTCTACCACTCCCCCCGTAGGAGCATAGCATCTTGGCAGTCGTAGTCGTGATACCTCCTCGACGACTCGCAGCCATCTCTGGAATTCCTCTGCTGCCTCCCTGGGTAGTTCGTCGTCCCATCCGACCTTCTTCATACGCCATAGGTCTTGTAGCAGGATCTTGGCGGTGATGGTGAGGTAACTTAGCAGTCCAAGTGGGTCAAAAACGGACATGACTGCACTTAATGCTTCCCTCTTGGTCGGTGGTCGCTGTAGCGTCTTCACTTCTTGCGGCACCCTATTCATTGACGTGTTGAATGTTAGGGCGTCTTCATCAGCCATCCATAATAACCCTAAGGTTCTGCCTGGGCTGTCTTGTCTTAAGCCTACTTCTTTAGGCTTACGCGCCAGTAAGTCCTCCGGCTTGTCTTCTAACAGGGCTGCGTGGTTAGAGTTCCATCCTGCCAAGGTGAAACCGGCCTGCTGGTGCACTTCCGAAACCTGCTTTGCCGTATTTATCGCTTCCTCTACCGTGGCATAACTGTCTAAATAGTCATCCATATAATGGCTACGTACGATAGCGTTAAGTGCCAACGGGTGTGTCTCTGCGTGTACGCGCGCGTTATGATCCCTAACACTATGTGCGAGAAACGGCGAGCTCCTCGCACCGAAAATCATAGACGTCATGACGTACTCCCGCGGTGGGCTGTGTCGCTCGTCTCCTCGCCAAAGAAACAACTGCGCGGGCTGATCGAGACCGTCGATCTTTACACGCAAGAACATCTCCCTAATATCCGCGGACACCGCTATCTCGTTTTCCCTAAATCGAAACAGTATGCTCGGTAGGTTCCGTAATAAGTCGGGGCCGTCGAGTAAATAATCGTTAAGGCATCTGCCGGATGCGCGCGCTGCCGCGTCGAACACTACTCTCGTCTTCCCCGGCTTGTTCGGATTCCGTACTGCGAAGTGTGGCAGGTACCAGCTCTTGGGATCCTCTCGCTCTGTCCCCTCGGCTTCCCTTGCGTATCCCTTCGCCAGGAGGTTGTCTATCTGGGCTGTGTAGGCGTCACGAAACTCCGGCGACTGGTCCATCTTCCTCTCGATCGTCCGTAGTCTTCGCGCTGCCATCTCGTAGCTGGGTGGCATCCGCACGTTGTCGTCCTTCCATGGCAGTCCAACTTGGTATTGCTCGCCGACCTTCTTGACGGTGCGCTGGAATATGTCGACAGCGCGCTCCTCATCCCGTCGCGGCCTGCTCTTCAGCGAGATACCTATAGAGTCTATCTCGTACTACTTTGAGGAGTTCCGTTAGCTCCTCGTCCCGACTGGCAAACGTTCGGATGTCCCTATCTGACCGTCCGCTAGTGCTCTCTACGTGTAATACGGTCTCGCCGTCTTCCCTACACGTTAACCGCGGCACGGTTCCCTGAATTACCCATCCTAATAACGTTCGTGCAGCTATAGGCTGCCTTCGACGTCCTATCCTTAAAGCACGGGTAATTATCAAATGCCAATTGTCGGCGCCTAATAGCAGTCTTGGCTTCGCGTCGTCGTAACACACCGAACTCGGTAAGTCACGTAAGTGCTTTAATCGTAAGCACTCCCTACTCACAGACTGCGAGCCTATCTTTAAGTCGGTTATTGTTCGCGCGTTTATGTTAAACATCTCGCTGCGCGTCTTGCCACGTATCCCTATATTGACTAATCTACTATTAACCTCGCGTTGACTGTTCCCTACGCCTTTAATATTGAGCGGCTTTATCGGTCCTTCCGCTCCTAACTCGCGAGCTAAGTCGTCGTCGATTAGCGATATCGTAGAGCCTTCGTCAAGTAGCGCGTACGTGTTTACTTCCTTTCCGCGTGGTCCGCGCACGGTTATCGGACACACTTTTAACAATACGGACGCACTACTGTTAACACTAGACGCGACGAGCACGGTTTCGTCCGGTTTAACCGACGCTGCAGGCGTACGGGCCTTGCGGGTGTGAAGGAGAGCGTGGTGGGGGGCGTTACAACCGTCGACGCCGCACTTCCTGGCTTTGCAGCGTATACGTCGGTGCTTGCTGCTCAAGCACTTGAAACATACCCCATCTTTCCTAACCCACTTCCACCGGTCGTCCGAGCCCATTTGCTCTAACTTCTTACACTTGACGATAGGGTGTTCACCCCCGCAACACATACATGAGGCACTACCGGTGTCCTCCTGGGCGGTGAACGTCTTTACGTCGCGGGCCCTATCTTCTACGCGGCGTGTTAACACTATTCTTTTCGACGGCGGCGTCTCTCGTCTTACGGGCGATTCCTTAGTCGACGCTACGGACGTATAGGCATGACTTAACGCACGGTCAGCCTCTCTCATCATGAACCGGGATAATGTAACGATGTCCGGTTCGTCCGCACTTCCGTAGTGCTCCGCATAATCGCACCAACGTGACCGTAAGTGAGGGCTAAGTTTGCTAGTAACCTCCCTAGTCAGCATTGGATTACGCAAATAACCCTTGCCGTCGATGTTCTGCATAATGCACACTATATTTTGTAACTTAATTGCGAACGAGTTTAATTCCTGGGCGGTTTGACCCGGGCGCGGAAGGCGTTTCAATTCTTCTAACGCACGATCTATAATTACTTCCGGGCGGCCGAAACACTGCTCCAGTGTCCGCATAATGTCTGCCGGATCCTTCGCGGTAAACAGCAGAGCCGATACTACCTCTCTAGCCTCACCGCGTAAACAGTTCCTTAATCTTGCCATATTTTCCGTATTTGTGAATCCATATAAACGCGTGGATTCATTCATCGCGGCTTTAAATGCTAACCATTCCGCGGCCGACCCGTTAAAAATAGGCAAGTCCTGCGTCTGTTTCGCGGCGGCCGGTAATCTACGATCCGCAAGGCGATGTGGCGATTTATCTCTGCCTACATCATTACACGGCGACGGTGATCTACGATCCGCGTGGTGATGTGGCGATGGCGATCTATGTACACCTACATCCCTATGACACGGCGACGGTAATCTACGATCCGTAAGGCGATGTGGCGATCTATGTGTAGGCGATAGAGTGCGGCGTTGGACGTGCGACGGCGACGTAGCTCGTACACGACGATCCACCTGGTTCATTTCTACGGCGACTCCATTATCCCTCTGTATCCTATTTACGCGGCGCGGTTGAACGTCATTCGCGACCGACTTCCCCTGGGCATCTTCAGCGTGGTCGTAACCGGTTCCCCTCCTCGGCGGGGCCTGCTCTATCTCGATGCGGGGCGCGGGCTGAGGCGGGCGGTAGGGCGGCTCCCCCCGCACAGTCTCTACGTTTTCTAACCACCTATCAACGCGTACCCTATTTCGAACTAGTTTCCGTAGTCGGAAGATCTTCTATTATCGCGGCGAGCGTTTCTGTGCGCGGCGCGGATGTGCTAACCTCTCCCAAGCGATCGGTTGTAGACACGGACATAGCGGGGCGCGGCGGCGCGGGCGCGGGCGCGGGCATAGATGCGGGCGCGAGCGGGGGCTGCGGCGCGGCGGAGGGCGCTTGTGCCAACGCGAGATAATCGGACGGGGACGCGGGTGCTTCCTCGAATATCCGCATTCCTACTGGCGTTTCGTCGTCGTTCCGTGTCTTCTGGCGTCTTGTCTTCCGCATGATGGTGTCCCTCGTTGCGACCTCCGATCGTCTTCAAAAAGACGCACGTATTGGACGCCGTTCCCGCCTCAAGGGCGTTACCAGATGGTCACAGTTTGGCACCGTTAGGGAGCAACCACCCGGCCGCGTAAACGCGGTTAAGAAACAGGAATTGTCTGGAAACAGACAATATATATGACGTCGATGTAAATAAGAAACGAGGAAGGAGTTAGTACCGACGATCTTCTCTCTTCGTCGACGTACTTCTTTCTTCCTCGAAGATCTTCTGTAATGATCTTCTTTCTTCTGTAATTATGTTCTCTCTTCTATAATTATGTTCTTTCTTCAATAATTATGTTCTTTCTTCAATAATTATGTTCTTTCTTCAATAATTATGTTCTTTCTTCAATAATTATGTTCTTTCTTCTTTCTTCTGGCTTGAATCCGGCGACGATGGACCAAGAACTTGTTATGGATCGCAGTGGACTGTATTATTGAGGGTACGCTAGGGGCAACTGCTTAAAGAAAAGATGGTACTGTCGAACTATACTGTATTCTAACTATTTACAAATGTGGCACTATTAATTAAACTATTATACAGAGGGGAGTCTTCTTAATGGAGTCTTCTTGAGTCTTGATTTTCTTGATTTCTCTTGCTGATTTCTTCTCTCCGAGTGCCGCTTCCGAAATGAACAGCTCACCGTCCGAGACGCCCTTCTTATATCTCGCCGGAGAGCGTCTCGGGTCGTACGTAGCGTCGTCCGCGATGCCGCGCGCTCATTGGTCGGCGACATCGCGTGATCTGCTGCCGGTGTGCGGGGTGCGCGGGGCGCACCGGGGTGTGAAGGGGCGACGGGGCGGCGGCCTCCTCGCTGTCCGCTACATACATAGTGTACTTACTTTAAGACATCGGCAGTATGAATGTAAACAATGTAAGGTTTATGATATTTAATGTATTTGTAACACATTATATAAATTAGAGCTTTCTACACTTCTTTTTATAAACTTTAACCATTCTAAATCTCACACTCCTCCGTGCGCGCAATACGCTTAAAAAGGGGTACAAAGTTTTCCCTTCACGAGATTTCGGTCACGGCGGCCAGTCTCAACGGAGACTACAATAGCCATGATCGCAGAAAAGGATTTAAGAAAATGCTGGTATGGGGTTTTTGTTAACAGAAAAAATTAAATTAATTATTTTGATTTTGTAAGAGGATCCATCACTTCAATTCGTCCCGCGGGTGTCGTAAGGGGCGACATGGGAAATGCCAGAAAGACCGTAAGACTTGCGGATTGCGGTAGATGGCGTGTATATATATAATATACCCAGACCGGCGTTAAAACCAACAGCCTTCAAGAAAAGAGCCTACTCCTTTTTAAAAGGCCGGCAACGCATTTGCAATTCCCTTGGTGTTGCAGTTGTTCATGGGCGGCGGTAGTCACTTACCGTCAGCTGAGCCGCATGCTCGTTTGCTCCCTCTCCTATAAAAAAAGCATTAAGCTAAGTAAGGTCAGTTTTATCTCAGCGTTAAGCTGAGTTTTAATAAAAAGTAAAACTTACGTTTTTTGCACGTGGTAGAGCCATGCATCTGCTATATTATGGCTACGGGACGAATGGGTCGGCTCGACCAAGGAAGGACCTCTCACGGAATACCAGCGTTAAATAGGGGCTTAATTCTGCTGTGTTTTGTATGGTGAGTATAGAGAACAGGAGACCCTTTTTACTGGAAACAAGGCATTCGATCTTAGTCTTAAAGGGATTGTCACCCTTGCATCTGCATTTTGAATCTTTATCGAGGATAGATGTTAATGTCTATGGGCCGCAGCATCCTGTTATTTCAAGTGGACTGTGTGCTCGCTTGTCATTCTTATGCTATATAAAAAAAAAACCAAGATAACTAAAAATAATAAAATAATTTTACATTCTGAAATCGGTGCTGGGACGTAACGTGAAAGAATTTAAGCCAAGACTTCGCAATGTGGTATTATCTTCTTTATATATAGATTATTCTGTGCGTGTGTTTGTCACTCAACTCCTCCTAAACGGCTGGACCGATTTTGATGAAATATTTTGTGTGTGCTTGAGTGGGTCCTTGGATTGTTTAAATTCAGTCATGAGTTATCACTCGGAGATACTGAATGAAGTCCGTTTGCAGTCGAGGCTACAGCATCGATTGTCGAAGGGTCCAATTTTCACGTACCATACCTAGTCATCTCGTCGGTGTAATATTTAACAGCGAGGGAAGTAAATTAGTAAATATAAATTAGATCAGAATAGAGTAGATCAAACTACAGGTATCTCTTCAAGTAGAAGATTTGAAAGAAGTTAAAAATGTGTAAAAAATTAAATAATACAGCACTGAGGCACTGTTTTGTATACGAATTTTTCAATGATGATGACCCTGTATCCCTGTATATAACAGTGGTAGAGCCACGCGGCAGCTTTTGCTGTCGCACGGATGGGCCGGCTCGAACCGGGGTGGTACCACGACCTCACAGAAAACCAGCGTGAAGTAGAGGTTTATCTCTGCGTTTCGCTTGGTGAGTGCAGGTGGCCGGAGGCCCTTTTTACTGGAAATGAGGCATTCCAACCTAGTCCTCACGGGTGACAACGCATCTACATTTTGATTTGTAATAGAGGATAGATGTAGATGTCTATGGGCCGCAGCAACCACTTACCATCAGGTGGACTGTGTGCTCGTTTGTCACCCTTATCCTATAAAAAAAAACCATCTGCGTAACAATTAAGTTCACCTTAGTCGCAACTAGCGACATCTGGTGAGTGTAAGATTATTAGCCCTCTATGAAAACCGTCTAAACGGACATCAAGCATGCATAAAGGAGACCTTGTCAAAATATATCCAGTGCCTAGAATTTCCACTATCTTTTCAGCCGTGGACGCGGATAGCCCGGGCGTGATGGTGTTCTCGTATCCTCGCTACTGCCGGTACAGGGCGCTGCTATCCCGCCTCGAGGGTATCCAGGCTGACTGGCTGCGGGACTCCCTGGTGGCCGCGCTGGGTGGGTACGCGGCACCCACCAAGAACACCAGGATTCTGTATTGTAAGGTAGGTGAAGGTTTTCTTTTGGTTCTTCCCGTAGTTACTCCCTTTTCTACTTTATCAGGCCGTATTACTTCACCGCAGGAAGTAAGCCCTTTTTATTTTAGTTATATTTTGACATATATTTTAATTAAGTACCTGCACTTGATAATTAAGACTAGTCTCGATTAAGAATTTTTTCTACGTGGTAGAGTCATGCTGCAGCTATATTATGGTTGTAGCACGAATGGGTCGGCTCGACCGGGGAAGGACCACACTCTCACAGAAAACCAGCGTAAAATAGCAGCTTAACGCTGCTGTGTTTCGTATGGTGAGTGTAGAGAACCGGAGACCCTGTTTACTGGCAAAGAGGCATTCCATCTTAGTCCTCACGGGTGACAACGCATCTGCATCTTGAGTCTTTATTGAGGATAGATGTAGATGTCTATGGGTCACAGTAACCACTTACTATCAGGTGGACTGTATGCTCGTTTGTCACCCGATCCTATAAAAAAAATCATCATCATTATTAAAGCCCTTCACAAGTCCACTGCTGAACATAGGCCTCCCCCAAGGAATGCCACAAAGCACGGTTCTGAGCCACCCGCATCCATCGACTTCCTGCATGTCTTACCAAGTCGTCACTCCATCTAGTGGGGGGTCGCCCTACACTTCGCCTACCGGTACGAGGCTTCCACTCGAGAACGTTTCTTCCCCGAAAATTAAGAATAGAAATGTAGATGCTTTGTCACCCCTGAGGACTAACATGGAATGCCTCGTTTCTAGTTAAAAGGGTTTCCAGTTTTCTACACTCACCATACGAAACACAGTAGCATTAATCTGCTATTTTACACTGGTATTTTATGAGAGCGTGGTCCTTCTCCGGTCGAGCCGACCCGCGCTGCAACTATAATATAGCTGCAGTAAGCTTCAACACGTTGCTTACTTTTCTAATTTATCGGATCGTAATTGTTCACGCCTGGACGTGGGCCTCTTCTATTATTATAATACTTTGACACTTAATAACATTGAACACCAGTAACCATTTACCACCCGATGGTAAGTGAATGCTGTTGCCCATATACACCTGTAACTATCCCCGATTAAGAATTTTAGATGCATTGCCATCGCTGAGGATTAAGATGAAACGCCTCGTTACCAATAGAAAGGGTATCTGGTTCTTGTCCCTCACTCACCATACGAAACAGCAGCATTATGCTGTGACTTCACGCTGGTATTCTGTGCGCGTGAACTGACTCTCCATCTTAGCACCAGAATTTTTTTTTTTTTTTAGTTTTTTAATTAATTAAATTTACGAGCTGGCGGGTTCCTTTGCTGCCTATGTATCCAGCTGCGACAGTGTGGAATAAAAGAATTGTCTAATTAAATTTATAGAAGAGACACACGTATTATTTCATCACCTTCCATTAATTCCTACAGGAGACGTTCGAGTACCCCGAGCTGGAGGGACACGAGTTCGTGTGCAACCACCTCGCGCCGCGGCTGAAAGGCAGGCCGCGGGGACGTCGCCGGCGCGCGCGCTCGCGCTCTGCCTCGCGCTCCGACACCGACAGCGAGCCGCGCGCCCGTGACCCGCCGCCGCCGGTCAGTGCTACACACGCACACACGCACATACACAAGCGTACATACACACGCACACGCACACCGACAGCGAGCCGCGCGCCCGCGACCCGCCGCCGCCGGTCAGTGCTACACACGCACACACGCACATACACAAGCGTACATACACACGCACACGCACACCGACAGCGAGCCGCGCGCCCGCGACCCGCCGCCGCCGGTCAGTGCTACACACGCACACACGCACATACACAAGCGTACATACACACGCACACGCACACCGACAGCGAGCCGCGCGCCCGCGACCCGCCGCCGCCGGTCAGTGCTACACACGCACACACGCACATACACAAGCGTACATACACACGCACACGCACACCGACAGCGAGCCGCGCGCCCGCGACCCGCCGCCGCCGGTCAGTGCTACACACGCACACACGCACATACACAAGCGTACATACACACGCACACGCACACCGACAGCGAGCCGCGCGCCCGCGACCCGCCGCCGCCGGTCAGTGCTACACACGCACACACGCACATACACAAGCGTACATACACACGCACACGCACACCGACAGCGAGCCGCGCGCCCGCGACCCGCCGCCGCCGGTCAGTGCTACACACGCACACACGCACATACACAAGCGTACATACACACGCACACGCACACCGACAGCGAGCCGCGCGCCCGCGACCCGCCGCCGCCGGTCAGTGCTACACACGCACACACGCACATACACAAGCGTACATACACACGCACACGCACACCGACAGCGAGCCGCGCGCCCGCGACCCGCCGCCGCCGGTCAGTGCTACACACGCACACACGCACATACACAAGCGTACATACACACGCACACGCACACCGACAGCGAGCCGCGCGCCCGCGACCCGCCGCCGCCGGTCAGTGCTACACACGCACACACGCACATACACAAGCGTACATACACACGCACACGCACACCGACAGCGAGCCGCGCGCCCGCGACCCGCCGCCGCCGGTCAGTGCTACACACGCACACACGCACATACACAAGCGTACATACACACGCACACGCACACCGACAGCGAGCCGCGCGCCCGCGACCCGCCGCCGCCGGTCAGTGCTACACACGCACACACGCACATACACAAGCGTACATACACACGCACACGCACACCGACAGCGAGCCGCGCGCCCGCGACCCGCCGCCGCCGGTCAGTGCTACACACGCACACACGCACATACACAAGCGTACATACACACGCACACGCACACCGACAGCGAGCCGCGCGCCCGCGACCCGCCGCCGCCGGTCAGTGCTACACACGCACACACGCACATACACAAGCGTACATACACACGCACACGCACACCGACAGCGAGCCGCGCGCCCGCGACCCGCCGCCGCCGGTCAGTGCTACACACGCACACACGCACATACACAAGCGTACATACACACGCACACGCACACCGACAGCGAGCCGCGCGCCCGCGACCCGCCGCCGCCGGTCAGTGCTACACACGCACACACGCACATACACAAGCGTACATACACACGCACACGCACACCGACAGCGAGCCGCGCGCCCGCGACCCGCCGCCGCCGGTCAGTGCTACACACGCACACACGCACATACACAAGCGTACATACACACGCACACGCACACCGACAGCGAGCCGCGCGCCCGCGACCCGCCGCCGCCGGTCAGTGCTACACACGCACACACGCACATACACAAGCGTACATACACACGCACACGCACACCGACAGCGAGCCGCGCGCCCGCGACCCGCCGCCGCCGGTCAGTGCTACACACGCACACACGCACATACACAAGCGTACATACACACGCACACGCACACCGACAGCGAGCCGCGCGCCCGCGACCCGCCGCCGCCGGTCAGTGCTACACACGCACACACGCACATACACAAGCGTACATACACACGCACACGCACACCGACAGCGAGCCGCGCGCCCGCGACCCGCCGCCGCCGGTCAGTGCTACACACGCACACACGCACATACACAAGCGTACATACACACGCACACGCACACCGACAGCGAGCCGCGCGCCCGCGACCCGCCGCCGCCGGTCAGTGCTACACACGCACACACGCACATACACAAGCGTACATACACACGCACACGCACACCGACAGCGAGCCGCGCGCCCGCGACCCGCCGCCGCCGGTCAGTGCTACACACGCACACACGCACATACACAAGCGTACATACACACGCACACGCACACCGACAGCGAGCCGCGCGCCCGCGACCCGCCGCCGCCGGTCAGTGCTACACACGCACACACGCACATACACAAGCGTACATACACACGCACACGCACACCGACAGCGAGCCGCGCGCCCGCGACCCGCCGCCGCCGGTCAGTGCTACACACGCACACACGCACATACACAAGCGTACATACACACGCACACGCACACCGACAGCGAGCCGCGCGCCCGCGACCCGCCGCCGCCGGTCAGTGCTACACACGCACACACGCACATACACAAGCGTACATACACACGCACACGCACACCGACAGCGAGCCGCGCGCCCGCGACCCGCCGCCGCCGGTCAGTGCTACACACGCACACACGCACATACACAAGCGTACATACACACGCACACGCACACCGACAGCGAGCCGCGCGCCCGCGACCCGCCGCCGCCGGTCAGTGCTACACACGCACACACGCACATACACAAGCGTACATACACACGCACACGCACACCGACAGCGAGCCGCGCGCCCGCGACCCGCCGCCGCCGGTCAGTGCTACACACGCACACACGCACATACACAAGCGTACATACACACGCACACGCACACCGACAGCGAGCCGCGCGCCCGCGACCCGCCGCCGCCGGTCAGTGCTACACACGCACACACGCACATACACAAGCGTACATACACACGCACACGCACACCGACAGCGAGCCGCGCGCCCGCGACCCGCCGCCGCCGGTCAGTGCTACACACGCACACACGCACATACACAAGCGTACATACACACGCACACGCACACCGACAGCGAGCCGCGCGCCCGCGACCCGCCGCCGCCGGTCAGTGCTACACACGCACACACGCACATACACAAGCGTACATACACACGCACACGCACACCGACAGCGAGCCGCGCGCCCGCGACCCGCCGCCGCCGGTCAGTGCTACACACGCACACACGCACATACACAAGCGTACATACACACGCACACGCACACCGACAGCGAGCCGCGCGCCCGCGACCCGCCGCCGCCGGTCAGTGCTACACACGCACACACGCACATACACAAGCGTACATACACACGCACACGCACACCGACAGCGAGCCGCGCGCCCGCGACCCGCCGCCGCCGGTCAGTGCTACACACGCACACACGCACATACACAAGCGTACATACACACGCACACGCACACCGACAGCGAGCCGCGCGCCCGCGACCCGCCGCCGCCGGTCAGTGCTACACACGCACACACGCACATACACAAGCGTACATACACACGCACACGCACACCGACAGCGAGCCGCGCGCCCGCGACCCGCCGCCGCCGGTCAGTGCTACACACGCACACACGCACATACACAAGCGTACATACACACGCACACGCACACCGACAGCGAGCCGCGCGCCCGCGACCCGCCGCCGCCGGTCAGTGCTACACACGCACACACGCACATACACAAGCGTACATACACACGCACACGCACACCGACAGCGAGCCGCGCGCCCGCGACCCGCCGCCGCCGGTCAGTGCTACACACGCACACACGCACATACACAAGCGTACATACACACGCACACGCACACCGACAGCGAGCCGCGCGCCCGCGACCCGCCGCCGCCGGTCAGTGCTACACACGCACACACGCACATACACAAGCGTACATACACACGCACACGCACACCGACAGCGAGCCGCGCGCCCGCGACCCGCCGCCGCCGGTCAGTGCTACACACGCACACACGCACATACACAAGCGTACATACACACGCACACGCACACCGACAGCGAGCCGCGCGCCCGCGACCCGCCGCCGCCGGTCAGTGCTACACACGCACACACGCACATACACAAGCGTACATACACACGCACACGCACACCGACAGCGAGCCGCGCGCCCGCGACCCGCCGCCGCCGGTCAGTGCTACACACGCACACACGCACATACACAAGCGTACATACACACGCACACGCACACCGACAGCGAGCCGCGCGCCCGCGACCCGCCGCCGCCGGTCAGTGCTACACACGCACACACGCACATACACAAGCGTACATACACACGCACACGCACACCGACAGCGAGCCGCGCGCCCGCGACCCGCCGCCGCCGGTCAGTGCTACACACGCACACACGCACATACACAAGCGTACATACACACGCACACGCACACCGACAGCGAGCCGCGCGCCCGCGACCCGCCGCCGCCGGTCAGTGCTACACACGCACACACGCACATACACAAGCGTACATACACACGCACACGCACACCGACAGCGAGCCGCGCGCCCGCGACCCGCCGCCGCCGGTCAGTGCTACACACGCACACACGCACATACACAAGCGTACATACACACGCACACGCACACCGACAGCGAGCCGCGCGCCCGCGACCCGCCGCCGCCGGTCAGTGCTACACACGCACACACGCACATACACAAGCGTACATACACACGCACACGCACACCGACAGCGAGCCACGCGCCCGCGACCCGCCGCCGCCGGTCAGTGCTACACACGCACACACGCACATACACAAGCGTACATACACACGCACACGCACACCGACAGCGAGCCGCGCGCCCGCGACCCGCCGCCGCCGGTCAGTGCTACACACGCACACACGCACATACACAAGCGTACATACACACGCACACGCACACCGACAGCGAGCCGCGCGCCCGCGACCCGCCGCCGCCGGTCAGTGCTACACACGCACACACGCACATACACAAGCGTACATACACACGCACACGCACACCGACAGCGAGCCGCGCGCCCGCGACCCGCCGCCGCCGGT